CACACACACACACACACACACACACACACACACACACACACTTATTCTTTTATCCTCGTGAGGACTTTGCATTGACTTCCATTAACTTGCCGGTGGTTTCTATAGCCTAACCCTGACCACTTACCCTAAAAATAACATCACATGTACCAACCTGACCCTAAAAATAACCTCACATGTACCAACCTGACCCTAAAAATAACCTTACATGTACCTGACCCTAAAACTAACCTAAACTCTATTCACACCTTGGTCCTAAACCAACGTCCTGACCCACAAACAGTATCTGTGCCAATAGGGACCGGGTTTTTGTCCCCATTAGGAACAGTGGGTCCCCACCAGCCTGTGTATACCAGGAAAATGGCCAAAAATCGTCCCTACCAGGTAGCAAAAACATGCACACACAGCTTATATGTCAGACACTTTATTGGATTGTTTTTACTATAAATAAGGACCTGAAAGTATTCCTGCTGGACACACATATTTATTTATCTGCAAATATTAGTTCTTTGGCCTTAGCCCAACCTGCACATGTTGTGTAATAACTAGATGTACATCATACAGCATGTTGTTTAACTGAATTCTCTGACTGAAGCTTTTACCTGACAGTGTAGGAGATCTTTTTGACACTGAGACAGCAGGACGACTCGGACCTCTCCCCGCCACCTTTCCTCCTCCACACATCCCTCTTCTCCTCAGCCACAAACCTAAAGGACTCTGCGCCGCGCGTCCTGCTGTCCGGCTCCACCGCTTGCATGGAATAAAATCTGTTCATGCCTCTTCGCCTCAGAGCCGCACACGAGTTTGTCTCCGTGCAGAGCAGCAGGGTCAGTGGTGTCTCTCAGAACCATAAAAACAGAGTCAACGTTGTGTTATCTCAAAGAACTTTGATCTGAAGTTGTGCAAAGGTAAATAAAGGGGGGAAAAAAAACCACTCCAGTTAAGTAGATTCCCAGTCTGTCAGTCTGGCCTCCGTCCTCATTTTGTTGGGACTGCTTTCTGGAAAAGCAATGACTGTCAGGACGGAGAGGGCGAACCGCTGACATGACATGAGCTTGGACGTCTTCAGGAAGGTTTGTGAGCTGTCAGAAGAGATCTTCAGCTGGACTGAAGTTTGCAAGAGAACGGGAAAATAAACTGGCATCATCATCATCATCATCATCATCATCATCATCATGGACAGAGAAACTGGCTTCAGTCACATAAACAGCCTTTCACAGGTCAGCAAGTCATTTTTGTACCTCACCTTGCTGTCGAGCTTCTTTTTAAAATCGTTTTCTTTGCATTTTTTATTACTTGAAAGCTGAGTTTGTGCCGTGATAATGCTCTAGAAGATGATCAAAGTGATTTATATTGTGCTGAAATTTGCAGTGCTTTCATTATTAAATGCTAATTTTTCACTTTCAATTTGTGCATTTAATGTAAACATTTCAGCATAACAGGTTTTATAAAGTAATTTTTGACTCTAAGCCTAAAGAAGCTCTTAAGCGACTATTTGCATGTCCATGCAGATAAAAAAAAAGGGATCAAATATTGGGTAAATTAGTTATAAAAGGTTTTATTTTCCCAGTTGGGCATTTATTAACTCGTACGTGGAAATTCAGATAAGTTCACTGACCTTCTCACATTAAATATGTATAAAACAATGTATTTTAAATACATTGTTTTATATTTCTTTTTGATAATTTTATTGTATTTATTGTTGATCTTAAGTTTTCGTTTAAAATAACTGTTAAAGGTACTTCTAGGGACGGGTGTTGTGAATTAGCCATGGCTATAAGCACCATGACGCAGTCAAATAATAATAAATAAAAATTAAAATAATAAATAACTAATAACTTTTTGTAATTAATTTGAAATTCTAATAAGTAATGAGAACATCTCTTTTTATCTTACAGGCTGTAATGAATAAGTTTAGTTTTTTTTAAAATTAACACAAAATTGTTAATATTTTGCCTAAATGAAACTCACAGTCTTGTCTTCTCGTCTTTAACAGCATCAGGACACAGAGTTGTTCTCGTCTGAGGAGGACAGCAGTCTCTACTTCACCTACAGCGGCGGGTGCAACGAGCTGGAAGTCAACAACCTGCATTATGAGGTGACTTTTTTTTCCTACAGGTTTCACCTCTTTATGATCATTTATTGTCGGTTCCTGCGGTGTAAACGTGTGCGCTCCTTAAGGTGGACACGGCGGCTCAGATCCCCTGGTACGAGAGGCTGTCAGAGTTTAAACTCCCCTGGGAGATAAGCGGAAACAAGCAGAAAGCCATCAACAACCTGAGCCTGCGAGTCCACAGCGGACAGATGCTGGCAATCATTGGCAGCTCAGGTGATTCCTAAACACACAAAATATGCCTTCTATAAAGTTGTCCTGTTCTTATGTCTTTACACTTGTCCTCCTTTAGGCTGCGGTAAGACATCTCTGCTGGATATCATAACTTGTCGGGATGAAGGAGGCGCGATGACGTCCGGTCAGGTTCTGATCAACGGGAAGCCCAACACCCCACAGCTAGTGAAGAAAAACATCGCCCACGTCCGCCAAGACGACCGCCTTCTCCCTCACCTCTCTGTCCGCGAGACCCTCAGCTTTGTGGCCCAGCTGAGACTGCCCACCTACTTCACGCAAGCTCAGAGAGACAAAAGGGTGAGATTATCAAATCCAATGATTTTATAACGAACACATCATAGCAGATAATTGATTGCACGTATCTTTTTGATACCGGTGGTCGGTCTCAGGTGGATGATGTCATTGCTGAGCTGCGACTGCGTCAGTGCGCACACACCAGGGTGGGGAACGACTACGTGCGGGGGGTTTCTGGAGGAGAGAGAAGAAGAGTCAGCATCGCTGTACAGCTTCTCTGGAACCCTGGTGAGAAACAGGAAAGCAACTTAAAGTGCCCGTGACATGCATATTCTTCAAATACAAAAAGACAAAGAAAATATATTTACATTCAAGAAACTTTGCATAATACAAACGATTTAACCCATTTTGTCCCATAACTGGCATATTTTCCTTTGAACTTGGCTCAGTCAAAGTGAAACAAGAAGTGACATCAAAGGGGAACTCTCTGGTCTTTGTTCCTTAAAGTAATATTATTTGAACTCTCTTCTTCATCTCTCTGATAGTGATTTAAAATGACCTAAGAATCATCAGATTCTTCTCTAGTCTGTGTTAGCTGTTGTAGCTGTTTACATTCAGACATTCCCCTTTGTAATCACTTCCTGTTACTTCACATGCAAATATGTCAACAACTGTTCATCTCACTGACATGAGTTTTTTTTTGCAATATTTTATCAATGTCATCTTTCCAAAAAAGCATTCATATGTAGTAGAAAAACTTGACATCCCAGGTCCATTAATAAATAAATCAGAAAACTCTCTGAATAACAGTGTTGGTAATGTGACACGGCCTTCACGCACGTGAAAGGTTAGTATGATGTAAAATGCTGTTTATTTGGTTACATGTTATTTGTCATTACAGACGGTTTATAAAGCAGAGGACCACCTTTCAGTTGAGCTAATAAACTCAAAATAAAACCAGTGCTTTAGTTACAGTAATGGAACAATAGAAACATGCATCAGTTTATTCTCATTATGGACTTGCGTGACTGAATTTTCCTGCCAGTTAAGACTCGCAGCAGCATTTTGCACCATCTCTAAATGGCACATCATAGATTTAAATTTTGGTCCTGCAGGTATTTTAATCCTGGATGAGCCCACCTCAGGTCTGGACAGCTTCACCGCCCACAACCTGGTCATCACCCTGTCCCGCCTCGCTAAAGGGAACCGTTTAGTCCTGCTGTCAGTCCACCAGCCTCGATCGGACATCTTCCAGCTCTTCGACCTGGTCGTGCTGCTTTCTTCAGGCTCAGCCGTTTACTGTGGTGCAGCTCGAGACATGGTGCCTTACTTCACGGCTCTGGGGTACCCCTGCCCACGATACTGTAACCCCTCTGACTTCTATGGTTAGTGTGATGCTTGTTACAGAGACCTTTTTATCACTTCACACTTATTGTTTTTGGGTGTGTTTTTTTTGAGAACATTAGTAATTTTCTATACTTATAAGTGGCTTTAAAATGATGACAATGTTCTTGACAGTGCATTTTTTTTAATCGGTACCATTACAATCCCAGTATTTGCTTCCCGTCCAGTTGATCTGATCAGTATAGACCGACGCAATCCAGAGCGAGAGGCCGAGAGTTTGGAGCAAGCCAGACTTCTTTCTGAGCAGTTCAAAGAGAAGGTCCAAGACACCGACGACCACATGTGGAAACCACCGGAAACCAGCGCAGCACAAACTGACCGGTTAGTGGGGTGTTAGTGGTCTTTTTTTTTTTTTTTTACTTCTCTCGTTTCCACTACATCAAATCAGACTCCAGTTTTTAAACGTGAGGATTTTGGTAGATAAATTCAATTTACTTTCCTAATCAAATTATAGTTTAGAAGTAAAAATTCACTTATTTCATGGTCACAGTTTCAATTATTATTTCTCAGATTCTATGCTTCCCTCTATCGAATTAACTTCTTAAATCCCACTTATGTTTTAAGAAACAACATTTTAGTGCACGTGTCAAACTGAAGGCCCGTGGGCCAAATGTGGCCCGCTACAACATTTTATGTGGCCCACAAGAGCTTTCAAGATGTTTAAATGCATTAAAGCCTGCATTAACCATAATCCACATGTCCCAGAATCCCACCACTAGGTGCACAGGGTTCAAAAGTAGCTAGCAGCTGGCAAAATTTGTGTCGTTTCCGTTCCGCTACATTTTCGCTGGCTACCTTTGCTGCGGCAAGTGGGCGTGTCACAAGGAAAGGCGATTCTAAAGCGACACACCTGATTTGACGGACTTTGTTAAAGCGACACACCTGACTGGACAAGCAAAAAAAGTGGCGATACCGTACGGCACCACCTCATTGGACAAGAACAAAAGGGGTGTTACTGTACGGCACCACTTTTTCTGGAGAACCCTACTTGGGTCACATTTCTCCTGGTTAACCTTAGTGTTGGGGTCAGGATCAGGCTGTAAAAAGGTCAAGCACGGTCGACCTCGTAGCCCACAGCGTTTATGCTTTTGACACACCCACTCTTGTGACACACCCACTTTGATTCCGCAGATAACCCCTTCTCCAGTTGAACTGGTAGATGGGAATTTCCCATTTACAAGTTAAATTGGAAAGCCCCCTCCAGTGGGAATTCCCCGTCAGAAAGTGGGATGGTTAAGAATTCAAGGTGTTTGCTCCTCACAACTAAGACAGACTAGTTCCAACTTACTGTCTTACTTTTACTTTTAATAGTATTTCTGTATTTTTTAAACATGTAGTCAGGTGTTACGTAGTACTTCTCAGTGTTTATAGGAGGACGAGTTAAAAAGCTGTTTCTATGCACAGAATACCACGTAGAGCTCAGTTATTGTTTGTTAGCGGTGCTTAGTCATAGCAATGAGATGAACGTGATGTTTTAGCCTAAGTTAAACACAAAAATGTCGAAGTTAAATACAAGTGGCTCTTAGCAACAATTAGTTTGACGCCTGTTTTAATTGGTGAGTTCTTCCGAGATCAAAACTTTCTTGTCTTTATGTCCTGCAGTCTCCAGCAGCCAGGCGACAGCAGAGAGGAACTCATCACCGTTTCCAAGGAAAAAAACAAGCTGCCTGGTAAACTGAGCCAGTTTACGATTCTCATCAGGTGAGCGCACTCAGGGGGACGTGTCGGAGCGGTCTAAAGGGAAACCCTCTAACCCGTCCTGTCCGTTAGGCGTCACATGTACAATGACTTCAGAGACCTGGTCACCTTGTTGGTCCACGGCTTCGAGGCCCTCCTCATGTCACTGCTGGTCGGTTGTTTGTACTTCGGGGTTGGAGAAGAGCGTCTGAACATCCAGGACACCGTGGCCCTCCTCTACATGATTGGAGCTCTCACCCCGTTTGCTGTGGTGCTGGACGTCATAGCTAAATGTAAGCATGTACAGATCAGACGGTTAAATGTTTGAAATCTTGTTAATAAGCAGTTTGTAACTCATGTTGTGGAGCACAGACTGACTGAGGCTCTCTGCAGGTCACACGGAGAGGGCCATGCTCTACCATGAACTGGAGGATGGCATGTACTCCGTCACCTCTTACTTCTTTGCAAAGGTGAACCGCAGAGACTAGACTGCATCTCCTGCAGGGGTCAGTCTCGCTCCACGAGTGCAGCACCGAATGACGTTCTGTGCTTTCAGGTCTTGGGGGAGCTCCCAGAACACTGTGCATTCACTTTGGTCTACGGTCTGCCCATCTACTGGTTAGCAGGGCTGAACGAGGACCCGGGCCGCTTCCTGCTCAACTTCCTGCTGGTGTGGCTGATGGTGTACTGCAGCCGGAGCATGGCTCTGTTCGTGGCCGCCGCGCTGCCCACCCTGCAGATCTCTGCCTTCACAGGCAACTCTCTGTTCACAGTCTTCTATTTGACCGGAGGGTTTGTCATCAGCCTGGAGAACATGTGGCTCGGTGAGGAGACGCATCGACTCGTTTGAAATGACTGGAACAGGGGTGTCCAAACATTTTGTCACGTGGGCCAAAATCATAAAGTCAGAAGGATTTGATGGCCAAAAATATTTTCCTTTACCTGCTCAAAAATAAACTAAGCATTGAATACTTTAAACAAATAAAGTAGTCATATTTATGGCTGGAAATGGATGCGTAAATTAATCTAGATCCAGAACTTTAAGTGTTTTGCAGGTTTCCCTTACTGAAAGAAATTTTGCAATTTTCTAGGTTTCAATTGAGGGTATAAATAACCCAATTTACTCAATTCTGATCAATCAAATCAGGATTTAGGTCATTCTTTCGTTGAAAATGCTTGCTGTATTCAGATGAATTTAATAAATGAATTGAAAGCAGATTTAAGTGCAGCAAAATCAGCTTTTGAGTAGAAGTCACTAGATAGATGTGGAAAAAGCTGCGAGTCTGGTTATTTAAAGACAAATAATTGGTATTGTTGCCAATATTTTTTATTATAAGATTTTACTTTGTGATAAATTTGCCCTAATAATAAATAGAAAGTCTCCATCTACATCAAACACCTGTGCCAGGGGGACAAATTTGTAAACAAATTAGTATAATTCTTGAACTGAAGTCAGGGGCCACAAATGGCCCCCAGGCCACACTTTGGACATCCCTGGACTAGAAGTACACGTGTAAAGACAAATACCTTGTGATGTGTTTTTTACTCTCCAGTGGCCTCGTGGCTCTCCTACGCCTCGTTCATGCGTTGGGGCTTTGAGGGGATGCTGCAGGTCCAGTTCAGGGGCAACAAATACCCTGTCACAATAGGGAACATCACATTCAATGTTGACGGCATACATGTGAGTAAAAATACTGTAATCTCCTTTTTTTATACTGCAGCTTAATTTTGTTTCACACATCAAATACCAATTACCGAGGTTTCCCTTTGCTTTTCTTTTCCCCCATTTGTTTGTTGCAGAATATGAGCTATGCATTTTTGAAGACAGGCTGAGAAACAAATTTTTTTTTACTAAGTTATCTGATATCTGTGATTTCAAGTGTCATGACTGCAAATACCAGAACAAGACTTTATTTTCTAATCTCAATTAAATGTCAAACTTTCCCATCCCAAGTTAAGGCCCGGTTTTACGTGCTGGAGCCCGTCGATTTCAGATAAACTGATGTTTCGTCTTTCAGGTGGTGGAAGCCATGAAGATGAACCAGTACCCTCTGTTCTCCTGCTACCTGGTCCTGCTGGCCATCTGTCTGGGCTTCATCTTGCTCTATTATCTGTGCCTCAAATTTATCAAACAGAAGTCCAGTCAGGACTGGTGAAGAACACCAAACGATTAGAGATCACACTTTTTCCTCCTGTGTTTTTACTCGTCAGAAAGTGTATTTGTAAAAGTTCTTGTTCGACTGGTTCGACTCAGTTATGAATTATTTTTCTGTTTGTTTTATTTTGAAATAAATCAGGGGGAAAAAAGTAAAATGACTTTTTAAACAATTTAAACATCAGAAACTTGATGTTTTATTAAACGAGCATCTTGAATCTCAGAAAGGAATTTGGGAAATGAATGATATATATATATTTTAAAAGCTCTGACTTTATGAATTGAAATAAAAAGCCTGGTCTCTGTGCTCCTGTCTGCTGCTGGGTGGCAGCAAAGCACTGCTGTCAGGTTCTGATGATTCTTTTCTGTCATGGTTAATGATTAGAGCTCTACTTTGGCAGATATCCATCTGCAGCTTTTGCTTGTTCCATTTTCAGTCTTTTTTTTTTCAAGCAGCTTTATCTTTTCTTTTATATGGAAGATTATTAAGCTTACTGTAACCATGTGTGTCAGAGTGTAGAGCACTAAAAAGAAAAGCCTGGTACAGATTTAGTAAGTCACACTTGATAAAGAAAAAACTTGAACTTCTTGTGTCCTCAGGTTGAAGATGGTGTAAAGCTGGTTTTTGCACTGGTGCAAAGGCCGGTTAAATGTTTTATCTGTTTAAGTCCAAATTAGTAAAGTATTAAATCAAATGACGTGACCCAAGCTTGTATTTTTGACTATTTTTGGTGATGTTAGTATTGTCATTATCCTTCCTATTTTAAAAATAATTATATGCAGGGCTCCTTAAACTTCTTTGGTACAATATAAAATAAATAAATAATCAAGATGTTGCTAATTTTTTTTTATTTGAATCCTTAATGAACTCGGTGACCTGAGCCAACCATCTGACATCATCCATCAATCTTCTTGGAAAACCAGTTGTGCCGTCCAAAGCTTACTTTTAAGGCCAACAACTTGCATTAACACAAATATCAGAAGCCAAATTTAAAGAGTCAACAGCTTAAAACCAAGATAATAAAAGGACCTCAAGGGTTTGACAGCTTAGAGTAGTCTTCCACGAATTAGTGATAAATTTGCATTCAAACAACAAACTTTGGTATCTATTTGATTTGAAAATACTTGTTTTCTTTTGTTTTGGATTATTTTCAGAATGAATGACTTCAAGAAAGTTTGGATGGGAATAATTTGTGAGTCACTATGAAAGTGAATGAGTTAGAAATTTAATGTTTTATTTGTTTTTAAACTATCTGCATTTAAGCAAATTAAGCAAACATTTATACGTCAAAATTAAGATTATTTTTAAATAACCAATCCAACATGCTTTACTGTAAGACTGTATTTGTAACTGCTTACATATGTTAAATATAAATACTATTAAATTAACGGAAAAGGTTACAAAGGTTCATAAAAAGTATCAAAACCTAAACATTTTTACTGATTGTAAAATGGGTATTAAAAATTTAAAACGCATGGAATTAAAACCTAATGTCAGAAGAAATGTTCAAAGTTTAATGGATAAAAATTTATTCACTTCTATGTAATTCTCTAAAAAAAAGCACAAGCCAATTTGAAAAAAAAATTTTTTTAAACATGAAAAAAATAGACAAGACACAGCATTAAACCATATAAATGAAGTTAAAGTTTCTAGTGTTTTTTTTTTAAACAATTTTAGTTTTATGCTTCAGCTTCTGTCTGTAAAAATAACTATGGCAGCAGGTGAATTAATGTACTGTTTTATGTAGTAAATTAGTAGTTTTAACAAGATAAAATTTTCATTGGCATTAAAGTCCCATCCAACACATTTACATCCAAATGTAAAACTAAAAAAAAGGCAAAATACAAAAAACACTTTACTCAATACAATTTGATGTACTTTATTAGCATAATACTCCTGTACATTCTCATCATCTTTGTCCATGTCATCGTTGTTACAAGGTAAAGTCTAAACATCCAACAGTTACAACAATATTCAACATTTCAGCTCAACTAACTTGTAAAAAAGAGAAAAAAACAAAAACAGGAGGGATTTGTTTTCAGGAATGGGGATGTGGTGAATTTTCACTCTGCTTCTGTTTCCTGGCTCCCTCTGACTTGCTCTTTCAGTTTTTTTGCGTAATACTGAAAGGACTCCTGAAAGGGGAAAAATGTGAGACAATTTAGCAACAAACTCACTCCAAACAAACTGCATGTGCGCAACTCTGTAAGGTGCGTGTGTGTTTCCATCTTGCAACTTTCAGAAAGGTCAGCAGTGTGAGAGCCCTCTTGGGTCCGTCTAAAGAGTCTCCAACCAGGTTGTCTCGTTACATCTTTAAATCCTCGTTAATACACAAATAAGGGATTTGTAGCACATTCCCCAAACACACACTTCTGCTCGTTGCCTCTGTTCCTGGCTAATTAATCAGTGTTTTGATGCAGATGAAGTATTTTTTTTAAAGGGAGGGATACCAATAAAGCAGTAATTAATGGTGTAAAAGAAGCGAGAATGATCCTGGCACAGTTTAAAAGCATCAGTTCAGCCTAATAAGAGCAACTTCTTTTCTCACTAGATTATTTCTCCCTGTTTTTACATGCTCAGGTTTTCCCATTGAGCTCAAAACAATTAGAAACCTACATTTTCCTCAACCTAAAGCTGCCGTGGAAGAGAATTCATTTCAAAGAAAAGGAAACATTCATGCGGAGAGGAGACAAAGAACAGAGGAGCTAGACGTCAAAAACTTCTGAACAGCATGAAAGTTCACCTTTCCCTCTCCTTGTAACTCTTCCTCTCTCCTCCAGTTATAAACCCAGCCATCACTTAGCTACCCTGACACTTTGTGAATAATGTAGCAGCGTCTCCACCTTCATCACTCTCTCGTTCTATATTCATCCTGCAGGTGAGTGATGGGAAGGTAAAGAGTCAGGCTGCGGTCTACACCTGCCTCCAGGGGATGGCACCAGAGTGGAGCTGCGGGTGGGTGGGTGAGGGGGGGGGGAGACAGAGACAGGGAGAGAGACAGAGACAGAGACAGAGACACAGAGAGAGAGAGAGAGAGAGAGAGAGAGAGAGAGTGTGTGTGTGTGTGTGTGTGTCGTGTCCACTGCCAAAGTAGGGCTGCATCAACACAAAATGTTCAATGTGCTGAAATGTTCAAAAACACGAGTCAGAAAAAGGAGAGAGGCTACTGCAGTGACACCATCTCGCTCGCAAAACACACGGCATGAACTCTGCTTTCTGAGGGGAAACACTCCTGACACACACGCACACACACATATACACACACAGTAACCACCAGCTGCAGGACTGCTTCTTCACATTACCACACAATGGCCCACATTAGGACACTGACTGGACAAGTGCCAGCCCAGGTTAGCTGCTTCAGACTGCGTCTCTCTGAGAATACTTTCAGCAACAGATTGTATTAGTGGCTCAGTGGTAATATTTGTTAAAAGCTTTTAGAAAATAAACACTCATCTTTTTAATTTAAGTTTGACTTTAAAGGGGACACACAATTTTTTACTTGTAAATGTTAGTTGTTGTGTACTTGGAGCGCAGGAGTGCAGAAAATTAGAATTTAGTCTCTCCTAGTGTGACATAGATTCCTCTATATATTGTGTTTGGGTCATATTTTTCATCCCGTTCTGTTTTATCCATCTTCTAAGATGTTTCCTGAACTATTACATGGCAAATTTTAATTAATTTGTAAATAGAAGAAAAAGAATCTGCACCGCTATAAAGTCAATAACCCCTCTGTCAAACTGGAATGGACCAATCTGGAAGATGTAGGAGGGCAGGGTGTGAAGCACCTTGGATTTAAAGAGACAGCCTCAAAATGAGTTGGTAGGCCTGTCACGATAACAAATTTTGCTGGGCGATTAATTGTCTCAAAAATTATTGCGATAAGCGATAATATTGCCTGGTGACCATTTTACAACTAATAATCATTAAAGCGTAATTTGTAAGTGTAATAAATCAATAAACTTTAATTTTTAAAGAATGTTTAACAAAGTGGACTCTCAGTCTCTAACAAAAAATGCACTTGAATAAAAAAACAGAACAACAAAATGTAAATTAAACACCACACACAACTAAGACAGTAAATAAACAATATTAAAGAGCAACATCTCTTTAGAGATGAAGCAAACTACACAGCCTGGTGAGGACCCACTGTTTCTTATGGGGACATAAGCCCAGTTCATATCCCATGTAAAGTTAGGCTAGGTTTAGGGTCAAATGGTAATAGAAAATACTGGTAAATGAATGAAAGTCAATGCAAAGTCCCCATGAGGATAGAACAAACGTGTCTATGTGTGTGTGTGTGAGGAGGGGACAGTCAGAGCGCTGCGGGGAGGAAATCAGACAGTTCAGAGTTTTCCTCATGAGTTGTTGGGACAGCTACAGGTTTTTTTGGGTGTTTTGTTAAAACACAGACGTGTGTTTAAGTTTCCTGTTATTTTTGGGAGATACAGGTAAAGTCTTGACGAGTTTGTTGTTGGTCTGGGGGAGTTTCAGCCCCCACCTCTTCTCCTCTCTCGCTCTGTGTCTCCCCGCAGCGAAATTCAGGCTCAAAAATTGCTCCGACACTGCAGCAGCCGCGTTCTGCTTTGAAACGTTTCTTTACTTACGAGCTGTTATGCTAAAGCGAGAGGTCACTCCTCCCGACACTAAGAAAACAGGAGGGGAGGAGTCAGCTGAGCTCCTGTGTAGCGGAGCACAGAGAGGGAGAGAGAGGAAGTAAACCAACAAGCAGGAAAATGAAACTTATCGCCTTCTTTTTTACTGACCTAAAAAAAATTATCGTGCAACTAATTGATTTATTGACTATCTCGACAGGCCTGAGTTGGTCTGAGACACACCTCAGAAAGGCGATTAAAGAGGGGCTTGTGGAGTTACAATAAAGAAGAATTCAGACCAAAGCATTGCAGTTCCACTTTATATAGACCCCAATGAATGATTTAGTGAGAAAACAAAAAGGATTTAAAAGCATATGTCTCCTTTATACATCAACTTAAGTTAATGAAGTTAAACATTCTGCTAACAGCCATAAGCAGAAATGAGAAGCTACAAAAGGTGTGTTTTAATTCCCTCCTAAGCTACAAAATCTGAAGCTTTTTTATTTTATTTTAAAGTAACTTCAATCGAGTTTATAAGATTTCTTGAAGCACTCTTTGGAGATGTTTTACACACTTGGTTCTGTGTAAAATTGCCCTTGTTTTTCTAGTTTCATACAAGAACATCAAAACTGTAACAATTAGTTGCACAACTAAAGAGGTTGATTACTTCTCTCTTATCCTGCCATGTCCTGCATTATTACCGTGTGGATCTCTGTCTTTATGCGTGTTTTTGTGTGTGTGTCAGTGACTCACAGGGGGCTCAATAAAGGGTACGTCCTCTCCGGCTTCTTTGTAAAGAAGAGCCAGTCGTTTGAGTGCCAGCTCGTTCACAGCAACCCCCTCCTTCATCATCTGCTCGTACAAAGCCTTGGCCATCGGCAGGTTTTTATCCACAGCTGTTGAATTAGAGGGTGAGACTCGTAAAAAACAAAAAAATGACACATAACCCACTCAGAAAATCCTTATGTAACTGTGCTTAGAAAATGTTTATGTCAATAAGTGGAGATGAGTTGAAGAACTGAATACGGAAATGTCAACAGGAGTAAAAAAAGACAAAGTGTAAGGAAGAAGCTGAAGTGGCAGAACATGTTGAGATTAGCAAGCTAGGCTAGTCTCACTCTGACTCAGATTCTGATCAGAGCCTCCTGCTGCTTTAAACACATTCTTGTTTCAAATCGGCGCAGCTTCACGCAACTTACTGTAAGCCTTTATCAGGTATGAATTCAGAAGTTCTTTGCTTTCGAAGTCTGGAACCAGGTTCATCAGGTTCTTGATCTTTTTAATCTGTGCAAACAAAGATTCAAAAACATATATTTATGCAAAGACTTACTTACAGTTTTAATACTGAACCTTTTGATAACAGAAAAATATTTGGAAATTTAAATACAAATTAGCTTTGTTTGCATAGATTTCTGTAAATATTGTTAAAATTGTTTTCTGCAATTTAATCAACTCTTTAAAATTTGCATGAAAGTTCAAATCAGCACTGTTTTTTTTTTCAACTGATGTTTTTTTTAACTTTTCTAAATTTATCACATTAAAAACACGTATCAGGGGCCACGAGGGAATTTTTGTTGAAATTACAACTCACTCAGATCAAATAGTAAAAAACTTGCCTTTAATAACCGAGTTGATTCTGAAAATACACTGCTCAAAAAATAAAGGGAACACTTAAACAATGCACGCTAAGTCCAAGTAAATCAAACTTTTGTGAAGCACATTCAACTCTGTACAGAACAAAGTACTCAATGCGAATATTTCATTGATTAAGATCGGGAGTTAGCGTGCGTTGTTTAAGTGTTCCCTTTATTTTTTTGAGCAGTGTATATTCTGAACATTTCTACACCTTAAATTTGGTTATTAAGGCAGATAGTTATAATCAATGAGGTTACTTTGAAACATTTCTGTCAGTTACAGGAACACTGATCTGAGCACAGCTCAACAAGTATTAGGATAAAACTAATATAAAGTATAAAATATTCTCCCATAAGAGGTTAAAATAAAGCCTCAGTTTCACACTGTTTCTGCACAGTGAATGAAAATAAATCAGCTTTTACTGAGAGAAAACTACATTCTGCTCATTTTGAATATAACGGTTGGAACATCAAACAGATTTTTAATACAGAGTTTATTTGTGAGACTTTACCTCTCCAGGAATCTGAGCCTTGTTAGCCACAAAGGACAAAAAACTGCGTCTTTCTTCAGCCAGTCCTGTGCAGCGCTGCAATGAGACAAGAAAAGATGATAAAACAAAATAAGTGGGAGGAATACTGTTGAATCTCAACTTTTTTTTCTTGAGGTCAACACGTCTCTCCAACCTGTGCTCTTCACTTAGTTTCAGTATATAAACTCACATGCACTCATGCACACCCACACATTCAAAGAAATACTCATCCACCAGGATCACGCTCGAGTTAAAGGATAATTATGGACCTAATAACTGCTCTTTTCTTTGTGGATTTAAATGTACAGCACTTTTCCCATCAGAAAATTTATGATCACTTAGTCCCAGTAAAGGCCAAATGAACTGCTCTGTAGAAACGTACATGTGGGCTAAGACTGCACTGATTATCTCTGTACATCTTCCACGGCTTAAACTGTAAAAATGCAGTGTGAATGTTTAATGCTGAGCGATGTTTGCTGAATACCTAAAAAAAGCTAAAACTAGCCTAAAATAGCTGAAATTAGAAAATAAATAAATAAAAAAGAAAGAGCACATTAAGAAGATGAAGTTATCACAAAAGGTGAATTTAGCTAAAAAGAATAAAGCTCAACTTAGCTAAAAAGTAGCTAAAAACACAAAACAGCTAAAAAAGCATAAAAGCTTAAAATAGTAGAAAGAAGCACAAAATGCTAAAGTTAGCAGAAGAATAGCAGAAAAGTCCAAACTGGTAGCTAAAAAGAYAGGAAAAAAAGCTAAAAATCAGCATATTAGATGCTGAAAGAAGCTGAAATTAACACAAAGCTTAAAAATGCAGAACCAGAACTAAAGGTTAAAAGTGCACTAAAGATTTCTGAACATTTTAAAGGGTTTAAAGGCTGTTGAAAACAGCTACATTAGCTTTTCAGACATTTTCACTCTTTGAAATTAAAATATCTTAAAAAGTATAAATGGCTGAAATACCAGAAGTCATAGCCGAAATGTTCTGAAGAAGCTGAACATTTTGATTTTCATTGTTGAAAAAGCAAAAATTGTGGAACAGGATAGATGCCGAAAAAACGTACAAAAGAAAAATGTTTCTCGTGGTTTGTTTTTGTGTTTGAGTGTGAACAAAAAAATGCATGAAAGTTCTAAGAAACAATTATTAGATTTAAGTTGGACTAAAAAAAAAATTAACAAATAAATAAAAAATCTTCACAAGTCAAATCCTGAGTCCTGATAAGCAATGAGGCTCATTAGGGGACAAAACATGGTGGTGTGTTTTATACACAAATGTAACAAAAACCTAGAAACACTTGTACTGTGATATTTAACAACTGACAGATATTTGTGTCCTTTCAATAAAAAAAAAATCCTAATAGTCTTCACTTGTTTCAGGAGGCGATACATTAACACGGGTGGATTCTGAGCCTTTTTGCTTCTCTTGGCTGAGCATCAGTGAGGTCTGATTACAAACCAGTCGTAAACCAACGTGTTCTCTGCTTCATACAGAATTAAAAGCGAGGGGCACATAAGGCTTTTAACAGCCCCACACACACAAAAGCAGCAGCCTTTTTGACTCACTGAATGGTTTTAGTACAATCAAGCAATTAGACCGAGTCTAGCCCATTACATTTGAAGCAACTTTTCTTCACGCTCTCACTCGCTTTCTTTTCGGTATTTTTCCCCTCCCTTGCCACATGTACCCACTCCGAACAGCGTTGCTAGAACCGAACAGGCCTGCCGTCTACTCCCACTCCTCACACGCGCTGCCTAAAAGCTCTGCGCACCCAGGGAATCCTCCCTCCTTCTCCTCAACCACCCATTCCAGCACGTAAGCACTTGTAGAAGAGTTTGTTAAGCGCTCGCCTTCGCCACCGTTTCCCTTCTTAATGACTGACTTCATCCCTCCTGCTCCCCACCGGCCTCACCTCCTTCTCTCCTGATAGCCTTGTCATCATTACAGGCTGCTTGCCTACTTAAAAGCTTTTCAGAGTTTCGGTCCTGCTTCACTTATGGCAGGATGGAGGAGTTATAGCTGCTACCCTCCACTGACCCAGGAGGAGCAGCTCAGAGGGGAAGGGCGGTGGGTGGATGACGAAAACAAACCACAGCACATCAGTTTGGCTCAAGTCTCAACAGTGAGGTTTAAACTTCAACTTTAACTACAAACAGGAGGACGTGTTTCAGATTAGTGTTTGCTCAGTGAGAACAGAAGGATTTTGTTCTTTCGCTGTTTGTTTTGATTTGATTTAAATTGTCACAGCTTGCAAAACACCTGAAAGGGTTATTCCTGACGTTTCCATTCTCATGATTCACGGCTTTATTGTTTGCCTTGTTAAGAGGGGAGGAATTAGGAATTCAACTTTGCATCATAAGATCTGAACTTTGTAACATAACATGTGAAGTTCCCCAGGGTTCTGTACTTGGACCAAAGTTGTTTATACTGTATGTGAATGACTTGTTAAATGTGTCAGAGTTTTTCAAATGTGTATTATTTGCAGATGATACTATATTTTTTTGTTTGGGTGAAGATATAGAATGGATGATGAAAAGGATGCAAACGGAATGTGTTAAAATACAAACTTGGTTTAGACTTAATAAGTTGTCATTAAATTTAGAGAAAACTAATTATATGGTATTTAGTAATAGAAAGAAAACTATTGACGTTCCACTTAGAGTCAGTGGGGTTGAGATTTGTAGAGTCAGTGAAGTGAAGTTTTTGGGTGCAGTGATAGATGAAGGGCTGACATGAGACCTCACATAAATTATTTAAGAACAAAGATGGCTAAATCTATTGCTGTTCTGTATAAAGTAAGGGAGTTATTTAATGATAAATCACTGTATGTTGTATAATGCAATAATAAGTTCATACCTGGTTTAATGTATTGAGGTCTGAGGGAAAGCGTGTCGGACAATTACAAATCCTATTTTTTTATTACAGAAAATAGCTGTGAGAATTATTACTGGAAAACATTGTCGTCACCCATCAAATTCATTATTTTGTAAATTGAAAATATTGAAGTTGTAATAATAGACAGATAATAAAATTTCCCATTTTCTAGTTCTGCCTGCTCTGACTTCAGTTCAGAAGAGCTGTTTATGTTAATGAGCTCTGTTGGTAACGCCCTCCAAAAATCTGTTGACATTAACTCCGCCCTCCAAAGCCAGCGTTTATGTTAGCATGGCTAATAATAGCAGAAGCTCCGTTGTACAACCATATGAGAGACCCAGAGGCAGAGTCGTGGTCCAAGTTTCTTACCTCAGAAACTCGAACAAATAGGCTTTAACAAAGCTTTAATAAGCTAAACAATAGAGGTACATGAGAAAATGTGTTCATAATGAACGAAAATAAATAAATAAATAAATTGTGTCCGTGCCGGTCTCAAACCCTGGTCTCCCGCTCTCTGGTCCAACACTCTACCCATTGCCCTATTGGAAGCTTGTTGAGAAATGAGCTGCGCATTGCATAACAACACTGTGAGGGCTTTTTATATTGAGGAGGAGGAGCTTCACCCGGGGGTTGCTAGGTAAGGGGCTGAACGCAGGTTCCAGTGGGTTGTCGTACGGCTTGTGACATCACAAAATGACGGAAGTATAAAACTTGTCGTTAATATACATTAAAAATACATTTACTTACAGTAAATATGCCCCTGGGTGCATTTTTTTGGTCCTAGGACTGTTTATTTTAAGAAGTACATACCCGAAGTTGAGTAAAAAACCTTTAAAAAGTGAATTTTGCATAATAGGTCCCCTTTAAGAAAATGATAAAAGCTGGATTATTAAAGAAATACGAAACAGTATAAGGTGTATCTATAGACATTGTTATTCTAGAGGGATTAGATGTTTTTGTCCTTTGTTTTGTTAATAGATTTTTTTGTTATATGAACTTTTTCTAGAAAAAAGGGGCCGATAAGATTTTTTTTCTTCTCTCTGCTACCTTTCATTTCATTTTATTTGTGATTTTGAAATACATATATTTTTTTCTCATTTTCTTTTTATATTTTTCTTTTTGTTGTATATAAAATAATTTGTTTTGTTTTAATGAAATGAATAAAGAATTGAAACTGAAACTGATAAACGCCTTGAAGTTTGCCTGTCTCTTTGAGAACCTCCTACCATTTGACACTCCCACTTCAGCACATCTTCACAACAATGCAAATAAAAAAAAACTATAACTATTAAAAACTATAACTATAGATCACTTTGAAGCTATTTTTTGCAATAAAATCATGAACATCCACCATTTTTAAGAAATGCATTGCTAGTCTGGTGGAGCTATGTGGGGGGAGAGCTCAGCTGCAGAGTGAGCTCCAGGGAGGGGCTTTGTGTAAATAGGCGGGGCTTTGTAGCAACAAGAGTTAAGGCAGCTCCACATTGCCACAGAAGATTCATGGATTTCCCAAACATGCATGAATGAGTTAAATCAACACTCTGGGTATGTTTTTGATGAAGGAATATCATAACATAATATAAAACTATAAAAAGCCAACTTGCATAATATACCCCCGTAAAAAAATTATAAAAGCAGAAAGAAATTGCCACAACTACTTCAGATCTCAATGCATCAAATTCCAAAGTCCACATTTTCAATCTTCTCTTATTAGAGGGAAACTGGAGAGCTGGGTGCATCTTATAGCTTTAAAATCCTGCAACCTTAGCTGGCGTTTAAATAATAATAAAGATCAGAGTAGTAAGTAATGTATCTGTTCATTAACATGCATGTAAGTCAGACATCCCTGTTTAAAGATTAAGAGGGATAATCACTCAGGATGTCAGGGAGAGTTGAGGAGCTCGCATTTTGACCTCTGTTTTCCTGTTCAACTAAAAAAAAGGACAGTTTTTGAGAAAATGAGTTGTAATGCGGTCTATCACAGACAGGAGGAAGTAAAGAAAGAGAAATGGTTTTATCTGAATGTGTTTGTGTGTGATCATCTCTCATGCAGACATATTTTCTCTGTCTCTCACCCTCACCACTGTCGTACATTCATGTCCCAGGGCTCAATGAAAAGTCGCTGAGCTGTAATGTATGAACTGTGATGAATAAGTGAAGTAGGAGGCAGCCAATTTCAGACCACTAGGCTCAGCGGGCAGAACGAGGGGGAGTTTTTCTTCTAACAAATGTAAAGCTGGATAAATAAGTCAGAAAGTGCGGCTGAGCAGCTTCTCTGGGGTCTGACCACTAAAAGAAAGCAAACGGGAGCTGCGATGGATGAAATTTATAATCAAGTCTCATGTGTTTATCACCTGCTGCCATCAAAGGTGGGTGATCATGTACATAGTCTGAGCACTCACCGATCATTAGGGTTGGGTATTGAAAGGGTTTATTTCGATACCGGTGCTAAATCGATACTTTCAAAAYGGTACCAGTTCCTAAACAGTATTAAAATTGGTACTTTAAAAATAAATAAATAAAACACACACACTCACACCGAGGTTTATGAGTCAAAGTCAATCTTGAAATTGACCAACATATTAACTTAAAACCATTAATAATTTGTCTTTGCACCAAATATTCTTAAAGCATTTGTTGTAGGTGGAAGTTTCTGCATCTTATTTTGTAAAGTGCAACCACACTTTGGACCGTTTTTCTTTTGACATCTCGACTATAATATATAATATTTAACTGTTCACTGCAGCACCTGTTCAGCCCCTCTCCGTGAACTCGGTTGGATTCACTTTGGGTCGGGTCGGTTCTGCTCAGTGTGCGTGTCTCCACGCAGTGTGTCCCTCACTCTGTGAGTGTGATAATGTGCAGACCGTCCACAGCGGCTTCAGCTGTTGTGTTAAAAATAATAATTAAATAAAATAAAAAAGCTGTTGTGGTCTTACCGTTTGGACTTCACTTTTATTTATTTATTTATTTTCACGGTGCTGTTTAGCTAAGTGCTTGTGTAACCGTGGGCGGCCAGTTTGTTGGAAACCTCCGGTGACTTGCTCAGCTTCGTCTCCTTCACCTCTCTCCATGAAGTGTTTACAAGTTCTGCCTTTCCCAAAAAGGCAGTTTTATAACTGCTTTCACCATGTCGTCGTATCGCGCAGCGCACTCTTAATACTAAACAAAAGCAGCTCTCTCCAGGAGGAAATTTGCTGTCAATCCAAGAGTTAATTCACGAGCAGAATTCTGCTGACGTTAAAATCATAGGCGTGCTGTACTCGCTTCTACCCGAACCACCGGAGAGGAGGTTCAGAGACAGCGCGGCTGTGGAGTGCGCTTGGAGACACATTCGGCCGAGACCGAGCCGAGTCGAACCGCGTACAAGAGCGTCCGAGGAGATTGTGTACCGAGGCTGTCACTGTTAACAGTGAACACCAGAGGGCAGAATTTAACAACTTTCTTTGAGGCACCGAAATAAAGCACCTAAGCTAGAGCTGTGTTTCGGTCTGTGTACTACCGTGGATGTTCGCCCCAGTGCCATACTGGACCCAAGTTTCGGTACCCAACCCTACCACAGGAGATGATTTGAACTTTGGTGTGCAAAAATGCCTGGTGATAAGTATTCCTTTAGGAAATGCTGTTTTTTTTGTGTGTGTAATTTTAGGGGTGTGGAGTAGACTTAATTAAAATTAAAACTTGTTTTTTTTGTTCTTTTTTTTAAATGCTGCTGCTTGCAAAGTGGTCAAAAAATGCAGTATCTTGCAGTAAGTGCTCATAATCTTTACAAAAACTGAACACAGGATAATCAGGACATGGTATCTTTACACATCTGAAACAGAAGCAGCACATTGTTTCACTCGTCTACTTTATGCAGATTATTAATTAAATCTGACCAGAAAGCCACGGTTCCTGAGGAGAAACATTAAAGAGCAGCAAGTGTTACATTTATATCCAATAGAATGATTGATTCTTAATTTTCCTCAAAGAATAATTGTGTTTCAGCTCAGCCTCTATTATAATCAAACCAGTCAGAAAATTAAAGATGACATAGTCTCTGGCAAAACAACAGAAATCTGGATAATAATCAGCATCAGTGAGACTTTAGAATCCATGTAACAGTCTTGCTCTCTTACACACAGATACTCACATCCAGCATTGCTTTGGCCTCCTCTATTTTGTTCATATTCACCAGCAGGAGGAAGAGATCTGCAGCTGGTATGCCGCAGGCGAAGTGGTTGATTAGGCGCTCTGCCATATTACTCACTGCAACAGTACCAAGCACACATCGGTCAGTTTTACATTTATATCTCTGGTGTTAGCATGAAGAATGTTCTTTCTACACATGTCTGGGCGTCTCACATCTGTCTAAAGCCTCATCGTTGCCAGATTCCATAACCTTTCCGAAGACATAAGCCATGCTGCCGTGTGAGCAGTTTGGATTCGTGTAGATGTCTTCCAACAGCTGTACTGCTGAGTCCAAATCACCACTGAAGAGGAAGAAAAAAAAAGAACGACGAGAAGAAATCATTTATAGTTTGCCTCAGTTCCTCAACATATAAACAGAAAGCAGTTATTTGAAATACTAGATGTTTTTTTTTATTTGAAGACCGAGTGTTTAAAATAATGATGTACTTTTTAACAAAATTCATCCTTGATCCTGACCACTTGTGGAACACAAACTACAAATTGCTACAACATTCAACGTGGTTGTAATAATAGATAGTTCCCACAAGAAAAAACCAGAAGCTAGTCATACTCATAGTGGTCTGGTAAACTTTATATGTGAGCTTTATGAGCAGCGTTACGAAGGCTTGGTTTTTCAGCTTTTTTTTCTACATTTATGTGAGCTTCATCAAAGGCTGAATCATTACTGAGACACAACGGTTTGTCATCAAAAAGCCACAAAGGAAAGATTTGATGTTTGGATACAAGGAGGACAAAGCGGGTAAATGTGTGCAGAGTTGGACTCACCACCGGCAGTCAAGCACATCAATATTATTTCAAAAAATAAGCGTAGACACAAAACATAACAAAACTTTGCCTTAATAACCTATTGCCTTTTTAACACCCAGCAGAATGTAACTAATGTGGTTTTCTCATTCAGTTAATAGAATGGAAAGCTCAAACAATGACTTCTATTCTACATTATATTTTAAGTCATTGGGAAAGTAGGTTTGGGTTTTTAACACTACCACAATGGCACCGAAAGTCCCAATGTAGGAAGTGTGATGTCATGTGGGAACTCTCTATATAAGGAAAGCTGCTGCAATAAAGCTGCTCTTTTTTGTTGTTCTTAGTTTATAAAATAACTCAAAACTCTTATTAGCTTCCTTTTCTTTTTAGACCTTCCCTCTAGTAGCAAATCTACTCATCCTCCCACTAATTCTATGATTTTTTTCATTCTTTCTTTGCTTTTTTTGCTGAGGTTGCCTCAACAAAATAAAAGGTTGCACAGCAAAGTACTACAAATGTGAAACAACTCAATCTCGCAACCTGAGCACCGTGCTAACACTTTACGCTCAATGCCCTCTCACCGCCGTCACCGCTTCTAATGAATATTTAACAAATGGTGTGTGCACGCACCGTGGTGTGCGCACATTTGCCCGTGTCTAGAAGTGAAGAAACGAATCCACGCCAATTGTTGCGACTGGGACCGCCTGAATAATTCAGCGAGGGGCCCCTGCTAAATGTGGAGCGCCGCTTTTTCCGGACCGGCTTGCTTTTCCGCCACAGCTCTTAACCAGTCAGCTTGATTCAGATACAGCCGGGAAGCACGTGTCAGAGCGCGGTTCTCAGGTCAGGGTTCATGCTGACAGGCCGGCACTGCGCTGGCCAATCAGGCGTGAGACCTCCTCGCTATTTTTCACTTCCTGTTGTCCGTTCAAGTTGATACAGGGCTGCAGCTGTTCCAGTTAACGGAAGGGGAGGGGGGGTGCACTAATGTGGCGAGAGGCACGATAAAACTTTGATGTGCCGTGCATTTTATTATTTTGTTCTCTTTAGTTGGAGAAGCGACAAAGCTTACATGAAGGACGAATGTTTTCAGAACATTAAAAAGGACTTTTGAATAATCCTATTCGCCCAGCGTTTCATACTTGTTTGTGATGCATCACTTGTCTTATAAGCTTTTTACTGAGTGTGTGTCAGCTTAGATCTTGTCACAATGAAGATAAAAAGATCCTTACGGTTAATCTAAGAAAAGATTCAAACTGAACTGTATTTTCGCTAATCTCACCTGCAGCCCTGTTTGTTTTCTTTATTTAAGACTGAATAAACTATTATAAATCTACTCGTAACTATTATAAAGCCATACGAGTCAAAAATCATTAAACCACTCAGCAAGTCTGCACACATATGTAACCCATCACATCAAACAAAAGATTGACAAATTTGGTCAAAATGACCAAAAGACATTTTCAGATTCCAGCTTTTTAAGCTACATTTTGATACCTGGATCATCCTGATATAGTGAGCGCTTCCAGAGCAATGCCTTGATTTGTCTTGTTAAATCACAATAATAGAATAGTTTTTGGACTGAATCCTATTTTTTGGTTATTCTAATGAGAATTTTTGTTGTCATTTTAAAAAGAAAACCTCTTTAAATATGCCTAACCTAAATAAAACCTTGCTAGCTCACAGTGAAGATATGATTTTGAGCAAAAACGTCTTAAATCTTTGATGTTTATTGTTGCTACTGTTCAGAAAACTGCTTCAAAAACATTCAAGATTAGATTTCAAACATTGATAAAAAATATATTTATTATATTTTAACAAAATGCTATAATTGCAGACGTTTTAAACCTGTGTCCTTACTTGTTGATGTGCGCCAGAGTTTTGTTATTGACAAAGACCATGCTGCTCAGGTTGGGGGGTTTGTCGAAGGTCTTTACTAGTGCCTCCAGCTCTTCAATTTCTGCCACGCTGCCAGCTTTAGAGAGGGCCTGAGCCAGCCTGTTGATGGCTAGAGTCGAGGGCTTAAAATTTGCCTGAACCATAGACTTCATACAGTCCAAAGCCTCTGTAAAGAACAACACAAATAGAATGTGTAAACACAGAAATATGTTTGTATTTAATACACGTCTAATTCTTACCTGTCCCACAGCCTCTCAAGCTGTGCGTGATGATTAATAAATTGATGGCGGACCTGTTCAGCTTGAATTGGGGAATACGGGACAGAGCCCTGAGGGAAAAATAAAATCATCTGTGAAAAACAGGTTTCTTAGATTTCATCAAAAATCTTCAAAATCAATTTGAAATGAACTTTTAATTAAATGAAGCCAGATTTATGTGGATATCAAGAGAATCTTTGAGGGTAGAAATGTGCAAATATTACTTTATGTTGACGGTAAATAAAGTTTCTGCATCCTGCTGTACAGGTCTTTATTTCACCTGTCAGACAGACAATCCCATGTAGCTATATTCATTATTCAATTCAACTCAAAAATACTTTATTGATCCCAGAGGGAAATTAGGTGTTGTTGTAACTCATTTAACTAAAGAATTATTGTAGATGCTGATGGCTGTGGGCAGGAAAGATCTTCTGTAGTGGTCTGTATTACAGCAAAATTGAAGAAGCCTCTGACTGAAGACACATTTTTTTTCTATGACTTTTATATGCATGTTTTCAGTTTCCAGAAAACACAGCTTCACAATAAGATAATCTTCACAGCTAAAAGAAGAAAGACTCGTGTTTCTCAACATGTAGCAAGGTTGGAGGTTTTTAATTTCTGCATCATGTAATCCCACGACAAGTGAGCTGTTTCCATGAAAATGAAAAAGAATTATCTAAGCACTTCCCGTGATATTCTGATATTAGATCATGTACACGATAGAGTTTATCCACCTACAACTGATGCTGAAAGAAGGTCCATTATTTCCCAACTTTTAAGCGGATGCTGGAGTGTACCATTAGGAGAAAATGTAATCTGCAATGACTGAACCATCTACATGACATGTTAGGCTTTGAATTGTGCAGCAACTGTGAGGCATCACATTTAAAAAAGCATTAGACTCCATAGAGACGGAGGGGATAAACACATGAGCTTAAAGAAACAAGACAATACAAATAAATCTGATTGGCAACAAGTCTGAGCCTTTAGTAAAGCTCCTGCTGTGACCTGAAAATAATACAGACATGAAGGATTTGATTGATGTTGCTGTGTATGTGATGTTTCTTGGTGACCATTGTTGGTATATCTGTGTGAGGAAGGCTGGCCGTGATTGAGGCCTCGGGGAGCTGCTCCTGTTTCACTCCCTCTGTCTATATTTGCCGTCTCTTTCAGCCGCTCTCATTTTCTTATTTTGTGCCACTAAAACCTCAATCAAACTTGCCTCCTGCCTTTTTTTTATTTATTATTATAGCCCTGCAACCAGATTAATCCTTCCGCTCAATTGAGCATCAGGCTGCAATCCTTATCACCACAGCGACACCGGGCCAAGCAGCAGCATCCGGCAGCTGCTCTGACAGGGTCAAGCCCAAGATTGGAGCGGTAACAGGGTTGCTGACTGATTGCCGGGGAGGCCGAGCAGCGGGGGGTGTGTGGGGTCAGAATTATTCTTATCAAGTGGGAGAAAATCTCTAAAGGCTGTCCTTTCGCTCACCTTCCCCTCCCCGCCTCCAACACACACTGCACCACTCCCTCACCCACTCCTTCCAGGGGTGTTGCATTTTTAGCCAAAGAATCCCTCTCTTCTGCTTCTTCCTCTCATCATCACTCTCTCACAATCCCTTAATCTCACCATAAGCACCCCACTGCTCAATTCTGTACAGATTACCTAAAAACATACATGCTCAGAATTAATGCCTATAGCGTCTTCATTATCCCCACACATGATTAAATCTAGCCCTCTTCTCATTCACTCATCTTTTCCTATTTAGCCTCTTTTTATTTCCGCATTTTTCCTTCCCATTTCCATCTTTCCCCAACTCTCCTCTCAGCTCATTTCACTTCTCATTAAGAGCGCAGATAAACTAAGCTTTTATCCAGGCGGGGATGCCATAAACCAATTCAAACAGAGACTGGAGATGGGTTATCACTTCTATTTGCCTTGTGCTTGTTGAAGCACGGGCCTAAAATTGATATGATTATTCTTGTAATAAAAGAAAGTGAACCATGTAGCGAACTCAGGGGGAAAAAAATCAGAAAAGAGACGGATAGTGTAATGGATGTTTTTACGTTTTCTTTTCCGTACAATTTAGCGACTGTGGCTCTTCTCTCAGCGTGTGTCATTATGTTATTATCTCTTTGCTTTGGTGTTTTCTTCTGCAGAGGAAAGTGATGAAAAAGAAAACCGCGACAAAAAGAGATAAAGAAATCGTAGGAGATTATCAAAAAAAAAAGGCAAATAGCACGAGCAGATCTGCTCTGTTAAGCTCAAATCTGTAATACCTCTCTGCCTGTTCATTTGTCCCCAGGCTCAAGCCCTGATATGGACCCACTGACAACACGATACATCACTAATTGGAAGAAGATTCATATTTCGACACAAAGTCACAAGCTTCCCAGAAAACCTAAATTAATCTGGAGATCCGTGTGTGTATCTTGGGGCTTAATGTGAACCATTGTTCATATCCAGCAGAGCTGAGCATGTTAACACACAATCACTTTCTAATCCTCATGTCCACTGAGGAGCTGCTGTTTGTGCCTCATGTCCTCAGCTGCCACCAGCTGAGCATGAGAAGGGAAGTAGAAGAGAATTAACTTCGCTGCATGTTAAAATTTGACATTTTTTAATGCTTAGAACCAAAACACAGAATGGAGCCATCTGTCCTTACAGAGGGTGAGCGAGTCACATTTATCAAATACTTCAAACAGAATCTGAACATCAAGCAGAAACTTTGAGGATGGGTCTAATACCAGCATTCAGAAAAGTCAAACCATAAGAAATTAAAGGCCTGGCATGACCTGAACGAACACGTTACGTCCACCGTTCATGCCAGAGTTTTAAATGACGGAGTTGTAGTCAAACCTTGAAAATATCAAGCTCCTGATGTGAATGACTAACATCAAATTTTAGCTCAATATCTGTAAATTTGACTTAGTTATTTTTCTGTTCACCACTGTAGGAGGCAACTATTCATCATTAATTCTTCAATGTTATATTAAAACGCACTGAATGGTTTATGAGGTATTTTCAGAAAAGACACAAACATAAATTTCAGTGGGGGACAACAGGAAGGAGTTTTGAGGAGGAACAAGAGATGACACTTACAGATATACAAAGGTGATATTTTCAAATTATAATTTTTGCTTCTTCAACGTTAAGTCATTTATAAAAGGCAAAACCAACAATTATAATTTTCTGAAGTGGCCAGTCTTGTTTAATTTTTTTAACTGTGGATCGCAGAAAGTTAAAACGTAAGTTTATGAATATAACCACGGTTCCTTGAAGGAATGGAACGAAGTACAACACACAGTTGATTATGGGACATACGCGCCCTCGCGCGCCTGGCTGAAGCCACCTCTAATCACGTCCTTACACCGGTGACGTGGTGACGCTGAACGTCGGGTGACAGGCTCCGCCTTCACCCTTTAAGTTCGGAGTCATCAGCGTCATTACTCAGATACCACCTTTCACCGAGCCTTTGTGATGCAGGGCCAACAAGGTGTTGTACTTCGTTCCATTCCTTCAAGGAACCGTGGTTATATTCATAACCTTACGTTCCTTTTCAGTCATTTCACTCAAACACACAGTTGTATATGGGACTTGTCAAAGCACCCCACAGAGCAATATCAGACCTGAGTTAAGTAGTGTGCCTGAGTAAGTACTGTACTAATGCAGAGCTTTGGACCCAGCAGAAAGTACAGAATGAGCCACCGAAGGTGCTGTTACATCCAGGCTGTAGAATCGTGCAAATGTGTTTGGTGAGGCCCAGCTTCAAAAAAAAAAAAAATCAGTTTTCATTTTTTTCATACTGAGCTGAGGGTTACCTGCAATAGCTTTCAAATATCACCTTTTAAATTTATCAAAACTGCAAAAAAATCCCAATTTATAAACTTTCTTGTAGCTAAAAATACTTTCAATTAAAAACTATGATTGAAAATAATAAAACCTTACTAAACAAACCAAATCAACAGAATCTACGTGAGAACTGTAAATTATGTTTTAATGTGATCCTGCATTAATTTACATAAAGTCTGATCCAAAAAAATAAAATAAAATAAAAAACAATTTAGCTCAAATTCCCAAAACCCTGTAATACAGTGTAGGATTTATATTAGCTCATATTTTTCTACAAACACACAAACTGACTTCATAGAGAATGCCCTCCTTGAGAGTTTTGGAGAAAAACAATGAAAAAAAAAATCTGAGACACAGCTTTAATTTACTTTTGTTTTGTTCAAACAAATATAGCTGGTTTAGTGTTAATGTGTGTCTGTACCAATAAACACACACCTGTTGATTGATGTTATCTCCCGGGTCATTCTTATAAAAGTCATCACTTTAATCTCCTCACCTGCTGCACCTGTCTGCTCCTCTCTCCTCTCTGCTCCAACTAGCTTTAGCTAAAGCTAGCATCCACCGACACACGGCTCCTCTCAGGTGGTGGAGTCAGTAATCCTTCTGCTGGTTTATCTTTTTTGACTTTTAACAATCTTCCAGCTTTGATATCGTCTCCTGTTCTTTTTCAGATGTGTCCTGACAAATACATTGTATTTAAAACACCGCTCCAACTTCTGCTACTAGAGACACTTAAGTCCCGCCCCCACACTATTTCTGATTGGCTAGAAGGCCTGTCTAAAGTTAAAGCTGCTTCTCAGATTGGGCCAGAGAAATGTTTGTTAAATCTGTTTTCCACGCAGCAGCGCATCAGATTCCAGCATGGCGAAAGTGCGCTAGTTGATTAAAACTTAATACCTCGTCAGATGGCGTTTATTACCTTTTAATACTTTTTAATGGCTTTAATTTTTGCTTATTTGATTTACTACCTTTTAATACTTTTTACAACCTCGCGGATACCCTGCATTTACAACTGTGTGTTGTACTGAGTGAAATGACTGAAAAGGCACTTACATGTTTTTACCAGATTTGTTGTTACTAAAAGTGATATTTAGGTCAAGTGTTTGGGAGATTGTTTAAAAACAGCTTTTGAGAGCAACTCTGCATCCTGTAATGAAGCTCTGAGAATTTCTTACTGGACAGTTTGTGGAGAAACCTACATTTTTCTGACGGCCAAGGCGTCCTCAAGTGATCCTTTAGACAACAGACAACAGATCACTTTATTGTACACGAGTGAGGATAGTGGCACACCTTTTGCCACCTTCAGCATCTCAAATGCTTCTGCAGAAAGAAAACGAGAAAAGAAAAAAAAGATCAAATAATCCTTGCATTACAGGAAGTGCAAAGGTTTTGAGAAAAAGTCATTTAATAACTAAACCAGAGGTTCTCAAACTGGGGTCCCAGGAGCCCCAGGGGTCCACGAGAGGTATCTTGCGGGTCCTCAAAAAATTTCACTAAATTAATTTGTTTTTTATTTTTAAAAATGCATGGAGAACAATGAACTAATAAAACAAACATAATAAAATAAATCTAAATATACTGTATATTCCCATGGCATTTAGGGGTTGAAATGACAGTAATCAATCTTTTAAAACAGCTTGGGGTTTATGAGGGGGTTCCTGGAATTTTTTAATTTATTTTATTTTTTGCTCTTGTAAGGGGTCCCCAGACCCAAAATGTTCAAGTTTCCCTGAACTAAACAATAGGGATAAATATCTTTAGATGGGTGTATTATTCAAAAACGACATTTATGAGCTTTATATCATGTTATAATGTCCTCATCAAAAACATACACACAGTGTTGCTTTGACTCATTCATGCATGTTTGAGAAATCCTTGAATCTCCTGTTGTCTCATGTGGAGCTGCCTAAATGCTTGGTGGTACAAAGCACCACCTTTTTACACAAAGCTCCTCCCTGGAGCTCAGCCCACAGCTGAGTTCCCGCCCCACCAGACTAGCAGCAGGAGGAATATTTCTTTACAAATAACTATGATTTCATTGTAAAACTTATCTTAAAAATGGTGGATCTTCACAATTTAATTGCATAACATAGCTTCAAATATTTATAGTTTCTTTGCAAAAAGTTGCTTATCATTAACATATCTGTATGACAGGATGACTCAGACTTAGTACCAAGCTGAAATGTTTTGTGAGAGCCTCTATACTCGCTCCTGTTCTTCAGAAAACGTGCTTTCTGCATCCAACATGGGATCATTTGAGTAAGGGTCAACTGTATCCTGAGTTGCCATTTTCCAAAACCGATTTTAAATAATGCTGCTTCTATTTTACAACAAAGTACAACACTCCTACGAAAGGTTGCAAATGGCACAAAGCCTTGTTGTGAAGACATGCATAAGTGGGAGTGTCGGAAATGGTAGGAGGTTCTTAAAGAGACAGAGGCCAATTTCAAGATGTTTAGATACGGCTATGGTGCAAAGTCAAATTTATTTTTGATATTACAGCTTTTTCATTAAAACTGAAGATAACACTTGATTGTGGTATAGAATTGAACTGGAAAATACAGGTTGAAACAGGAAAGCAAGCTTTTACACATCTGAGCTTCTTGTGTGTTTGTTAAATTTCTTGTGGGACATCAACACCTGGACCTCCTGCTGCTTACCTCTGTCTTTGGACTTATCACAAAGACTCAGCAGATATTGCTCTGAAACTTCTGCTGTCGAAGGGTCTGATGATGAGTTGACCGGCTGTGCGGTGCTGACTTCTTCGTGCCATAACTGCAAACAAAAAACAAACAAACATAGAAAACAATGCAACAACTTGGTGTGATGATTCCATCAAAACATGGCTACAACCAGTCTGGAAACACCTTTGGACAGAAACGAGTTTCTGTGTATGTGTGCGTGTGTTTACGGCTTTGGTGACATTTGGGGGCAATTTTAAGACAAAAATCCTAAACTTGGGGACAACTGGTGCATTTGGGGACAAAAGTCGAGTCCCCATTTGGTTTAAATGCCATTGGTGGGTTGGGGTTTGGGTTTAAGACCAAGGTGTGAATTGAGTTTAGATTAGTTTTAGGGTCAGGTAGGTACCTGTGAGTTTGGCCTTAGGGTTTGTGGTCAGAGTTAGGCTGTAGAAATGTAATGGAAGTCAATGGAATGTCCCCAAATGTATAGCTGGCCGAACGTACGTGTGTGTGTGTGTGTGTGTGTGTGTGTGTGTGTGTGTGTGTGTGTGTGTGTGTGTGTGTGTGTGATGGGGAAATAACAGTAGGCAGGCCGGGCAGGGTCCTGTAATGCTCGCTCACCCATGCAGCTATGAGGGGAGGGGGGGGAGGGGTTAAGCTGTGTTGGCTAGGGGCAAATTAGGTCTGGCACCCTAGGGGCAAAAGAAAAATGCATGTGTTAGAGAGTTTGTGTGTTGGAGCAGGAAGTGTCAACTGAAGAGCCCCTGGGGTCACAAAGTTCATCGCTTGAGGCAACAGCAATCACTTCCTGTCTCGTCACGATGTGCGCTTTTGAAGCATGCAAAACAAAGATGAGGAAAAATACAATCTGCAAGGACAAACGGAGCAGCGAAGAACTGGACAATTTTAAAGCAAAGCTGCAAAATAATTGTAGCAAAGAAACAAGAAAAAATAAATAAAAGAACAAATCTGACTCTCACTTAATTTGGGTCCAGCTGAGCATCAAACAGCAGCCATATGGTGGCATTTAGCTGCTGGCTAAATTAGTCAGGCATTACAGATTTACAGACAGATCAAGCTTTCACCAGCCAGCCTGTCTGATTGACTACACTTCAGATCAGAGCTGCAATCCTGTTTGCGCTACATGTAATGAACAGACGCTTAAAAACGAGCAAAGTTGTGTGTGTGTGTGTGTG